CCCGCAGGGGAAAGCTGAGGGGAGATCAAGGATAGGTCGCCAAAACCCCACCTCACCCCAAACAAAACCGTGATGCAAATTCCTGGGGGGATTTTTTCATCACGTTTAGGAGATTTTTTACATCAAGGTTGTAAGCGGAATCCCCTCCCTATTTCATATATTTCCTGGCACCCCAAGACACCTAACCCCCTCCCCCCCTCGCGTTTTTCTAACGATTCCCCGCTGGAGAGCTTTGGCCCCCATTGGCTGACGTCCAGCAGCCATGGGGCGTTCGGGTTGCCGACCGAGATTTGCTGCCGCCCTTGCCTTTGGGTGCATGTCCCCTGCGACGGCGTCCTTCACGACAGTCTGGGCGACCAGGCCAATGTTGTAGCTCCTCCGTGAATGCCCCCCAGGGTCCCAACGCATTGCCAGGGTCGCCGAACCTTGGAACGAACGTTTCATTTTCTGCCTGTGCAACAAAGCCATCGTGTACGATATTCTGCTGTCCAAACTCTTGTCGCTGATGATTGCGGTCACGGTCGTGTTGCTCGAGCCAACGACTTCCCGTGTCCTCTGCATGGCAGCTAATATTGCTTGGGGGTCGAGCTTCCGTCGGCGGCTCTCGCATCTCAGTTCTTGCAGCCGATCTGACACTTCCAGGTTCATCGATGGCACGTGCTTGCGCACGATGAAGGCCTCCATGCCCATGGCCAGGACGTGGCAACAAAATTGTAGCATAGTTTTTGCACATCGCTCAAAACGTTGTCGTGACTCTCCAACCCGTGATACAGATGCAAGGAGAAACAGAAGCACATTCGGGACTGCATTTGCAGCGCCAGGTAGTCTAAGAGCGCTGTACTTGCCCGCACCATCATTGAAATCAGACCACCGCTTGTAGAAGCATTGGCTAGCAACGACATCACTCCAGCCATGGATCACCCCTGCGTCGCGGTCCAGCTGAAGTAAGTCTGGAGATACCCTGCCATCGAAGTGAACCGTCACTGCAAAGCCGCCCTGGGTCGGAATACACTGCAACCCTTGAACGGATAGCTCGAGCCAGTGCCTGACTCTGTGCGAGAGAGGTGAGCGCCCGCTATCATCTACGCTATGTCGATATTTGTACAAGAGCCATGCGAGCTGCAAGTCCGTCCTCAACGTGACGCTCGGCACGCCGCCAGTGCCGCCGTAGTCAAACCAGTTGCCACTCAGCCCGTAAGCGGAGCCAAGGTTCTCGAACAACATCTTTCGCCTCTCCGACTTGTGCACTGCAGCAAACCCCCCGATGTGGAGCAGAGCCAACCAATGATCTTCTAGTCAGTACAGCGACTCGCCCAAATTAGAATTGCCAACTTGGTATACTGAAAAGCCGCCGTCTGTAAGCCCACTGATATCGATCGTTAATGCCACTGTTCGGTCCCATGTCAAGGACGTGGGCCCCCTCTGCCCCCGTCCAGGGGGGCGGGCATCCATCGCGCGCAGAGTCCAGCGCGTAGCATGCCTTCAAGGCGTATGCCTTGAGCATGCGCCTCGAATTCGAGCCAAAATGGCTAAGGAGGGGTGGTCGATGATGCGAGGAGGTGAACGGGACTACATGGGGATGGCGTGTGTGTTTCTATTGCGTGTTTGACTGTATGCGATTTCTGTGCGCGTTTGCTGTGAGTGTTGATATGTGCTTGGCATTTCGTTATCTGCCGATTCCCAGGCTGGTTAGCAGTTCGGAGGGGGGGCAGTGTAAGGGGTTGGGGCGGTGGGGGCAATGATTGGACGTGGGGGAGGGCGGGGAGGGCATGGTGAGGACGGGACCGATTGGCGCCTGTGTTGGAGGTTACATATTGTTTCACGTTTGCTCGTTTGCTAGCAATCAAATCACTGACTGAGATACGCACGGCCAGAAGGCGATACACGCAATGCTGCTGCTGCTTGCTCTGTAAACCTCACGCGGCGATTCCACGCGGCACTGTGGGGAATAAGCGAGGGGCGAACCACGGCCATGTTCCACGGTGGCTGGTTATTGGCAGCCGATCTTGGGCCGCCGATTCAAACACCACAGTGGTCCGAGGGCCGAGGCGAAATCGGGACTGAGAAGATGGGGGGGGGGGGGCTGCCTAATGGAAGTGCGAAAGACACGCAGCGGGATCCCCTCGGCAGCGCGATGACGCATGCGGCCGATGTAAGCGAACTTGGCTATATAAGAATGCTGGCTATGAGACGCAACGGCGTAGACGCAAAACCCCTCGCACGACAATCATTGAATGCCTCTGCGCCCCCGTACGGAGGATCAACCAAGCTGGCTATGCAAGCGGTCGCCGAGGACGGAATGACAAAGTTGGCGGGTGTTGAATGTTGGTCGTGGTGATATTGTATGTGATGTGATATGTATTGTTATGTTGCTATGTGCGTGCTAAGTTGCGCTCATCCCTACTTCGGTTTCACATTGTCATCCCTGCCAGCAACATAGGCTCAGCCCTAGAAGCACCTTGCTCATGGTCATTGTCCCCCTCGGCATCGCCAGTCTTCTGCTTCTTCTGGTCGGGGCCATCGGCGGTGGCTGGCTGCTCAGGCTGCGGTGGCATGGTGCCCTGAGCTGCTGCCAATTGCGAAAGCTGCTGCAAGGCCTCAGGGCTTAACTCCAAGCGGCCCTCAGGCGTGAGCTTCAGGCCCTTGCCTTTGAACGGGGTGAAAGTCGCTGTAGCCTCGGGCGCGGCCACGCCAGGCTTAGTAGCACTGCCACCTGCGCTGCTGGAAGCGCCACCGTTCCCACCGCAAGGACCTTTCTCGAACCCGTCGTCGCCGAACAACTCTTTCTCGAAGTCATGCTGGCTCGTGAACTCATCCTTCTTGGGCGTGGCGGCCTTCTCGGGGTTCTTGTGCTGGACGACGGCCTGGGCGTTCGGGGCTGCAGCTTGCGGCACCGGCATTCCAGTAGCCTGGCGCGGGCTCTGAAGGTCAACGCCTCCAGCCTGGCGCCGATTCGCGGGCATGATGTTGACGGGGTAGCCCTGGCGGATCGCCGCGGAGGCAGTGTTCGAGAGGTCGGCGGCGAGGTCGTTGAGCCGCGTCGGGTAGGTGACCAAAGTTCGGGCGATCTCGGCGGCGATGGCCTCCCTCATCTCGCCCTTGGACTTCGCTGTGAAGTCCTTGATCCGTTTCTCGGGACCTAGGCTGCTCGCAATGAAGACCAGCTCGTCCACGGCGTCGTCGCAGAGGCCGCTGAGAAGGATGGGGCTGAAACGCTTGGCGTCGAAATTCTGCAAGGCCTGGACCTTCATCTTCCTGGGGGGGGCGACTCGAGCATTGAACTTCCACGTTCCGCCGAGGTACCTGTAGCTCGTGCTGACCCTCTGGTTCTCGTCGCCGAAGAGGAGCTTCATGGGGCTGTCGGCGTCTGGGTTGGCCGTCGTCGCGACCGACTTGCCGACGGCAGCGGGAGGAGGAACGGAGACTGGTTGCGGGGCAGGCTGTTCACGCTGGGCTGGTTGCTGATGGGAAGCGGCCTGCGCTGGCTGCTGAGCTGCAACCAGCGCCGCCAAATCTCCAAGGCCGAACGTGGGCTGCTGGGGGGCTGGTGGCTGCGATGGGGCCATCTGCTGCATCATGACGCGGAGCAGGACGCTGGCAAGATCGGCGTTTGCAGCCATCCCAAGAAGGTCGAGGTCGGCCAACCAACCACTCAAAGTGAAAGATGCCTCTGATCTCGAGCCAAAATTCTTACGGACACTACGCAACGCCACTGGCAACCAAACGTTACTCAACAGTGCCGAAAATATTGACGACGCAACGGTGACGAATCATTGGCAACGAAATCGAAACGTGGAGTGCATGAGACGCTGTGTGGGGTGCGGGGGGGGGGGGGGGGGGGGGGGGGGGGGGGGAACGCCTTGCAGGCGGACCCCCCGCCCCCCGCCCCTTCTAGGGGCAAAGACTCCCTGTGTCTTGGGGGAATGGCAATGGGGTTGCAGTCATCCCACGCCCCACAGACAACCAGCGGCACAGGCAACCAGTGAACACAGACACCCAGTGACGAACACAACCTGTGACGCAGGCAACCAGTTATACAGGCAACCTAGACTCATCTCATATCCCTGCTCCTCCTCCTACCATGCCATCCCACATTCAGCCAGTGGCGCAATGAAATACTCATTCGGCGTCACAACCTGGGGCCAGCCTAATGGGCAGACGCAGAGGGGGGGGGGGGGGGGGGGGGGCGGAACGGGGCGCGTGAACGCGACGGGGGGGCGAGGAGGGGGACGGAAAGGAGAAGGCCAGAAGGCCGCTCTCTATACTCCTCACGCGGCCCCCCCATTTGAGCAACACGAGCACGTCGGACTCCTTGTGGTCTAAGTCTATTTGGCGGGGGGTCTGTTCTCAATGAGTTGGCGCTGCGCCCGAGGGGTCCCGAAAACAGACCCACCAACGACCCTGCCTGGGAGGCGCGGCGTGGTAAAGGTCGCATGGAGGGATCACCGATGAGGGGGGAGGGAGCATGGAGGACGAGGAGGGGAGGGAGCTTGGATGAGGGAACACTGTGGAAGACGAGGAGGGGGGAGGGAGCATGGAGGAGGATCTAAAAGAAAGGGAGTGGTGATGAAGGGGGGTGCGATCTTGAAACCGCCCCCCTATGCCCAAACACATCATGTTCTTGTTTAGTCACCGCTGTCGCTGCTAATCCTGTTGCTCGAAACTCGGGAGAGTCAGCATGCGCATCTTAAAATGCGGCTGCGGCGCCATTCACCTTGAAATCACATGGCCCTTCAATCGGAGTCGGCTGAGCCCATTTCAGACCGCCTGGCAGAAGATGGGGAGACGTGGAGGAGGATACGGAGGAGGCACCAGTGGAGGAGGATTGGGAGGAGGAGGAGGAGGAGGAGGAGGGAGAGGAGGAGGAGGAGGAGGGCGCCACAGCTCCTCATCCTCCGCGTCTTCCACCTATGTTCGCCATTGTCGTCGTCGTCCTCCTCCTACTCCTCTTCCTGCTTGAACTCCTGCAACGGGGCGTAAAGCTCCTCCTCCCCTCTATTCCCTGATCCACGCCTGCCCGACCCACGAGAAAGCACCGAAGGGCAACAGGCGCAAGTGGCGCCTCAAAACAGGCGGGCGCAGCTGGCCGCTCAGTCAGAGCCGTCATCATCACTGATTCTCTCGGGAGCATCATCTTCAGCAGCTGCCACCGGTGGCGGCTGAGCTGGAGGCGGCAGCGGTGGCGCGACGTCGCCGTAGCACTCGGGGTAGCCGAGGTCCAGCGCCTTGCTGATCGCCGTGAACATCACGAGGCGCCCCATCAACGCGCTCTTGCGCTCCACATCGTGCTGGAGGACGAGCTTGGACTGCGCGTGGAGCTTTGAGCGGACGAGGCCTTTGTTGAGGTCATTGCCGAAGTTCTTGATCTTGAAGTGAGGCGTCAACCTCGTGCCGATGAAGAGCAGGGCGTCGATGACGATCTCCGGGGTCTCGCACGAGCGATGCATTGGGAAGAGGTTTGAGGCCATCGCCTCGAGAAGGGTCCTGCGGAACTTCACAGGGAGGCAGTTCTTGTGGAAGGTGCTGGCGCCCAAGTAGAAGTTGCTCTTGCTGATGGGGACGAGGTTGTCGTAGCGGTCTGGATGCGCTCCGAAGGGGTGGGCGCCCTGCTGCTGGACTTCACATTCGACGGCATGGTTCAATGGGTCTTGGTCGGGCTCTCCCTGCGGCGCCACGAGTGACGGGATCGTGTGCTGGCCCAACATATTCGGCTGAAAATTGCGGGAGACACCTTTACCAAGGCGCCCAGAACCAGCAGGCATTAGTTGCTTCACGTGGAAAGCGCATACTCAAAAAACTGAGAGCCCAAACTGGCTATGTTGGTGATAACGACAATGGCAACGATGATAGTCGTGATAGAGATGATGTTGATGATGGTGATGGGTACGAGTGTGTGCGTGCGTATGTTTGTGCGTGTTGGCAAACGTTTGAAACCGAACGCATAGGCACCGCACACGGGGGGCTGACGAGATCAAGCCTGGCATCACGTTACCCCATGTCCCCCCCCAAGCTGCCCCCATCAGCGGGTGGAAGAGGCATGCTGCAAGGTCTTCAAACGGTTGTCTTCCAACGAGGCAGTTCCCTCGATGGAGATGAACCGTTGCAGGGGTCTGTGAAGAAGGAACTTGGAGGAAGGGTTTGTCCCAACATAGTTGATGACCCCGGGGTTTGCACCATCCTCATCATCATCAGCATCATCAGCAGCATCAGCATCATCAGCATCATGAGGAGCAGACTCATCATCAGCATCATACCATCAACATCATCATAAGCATCATCATCACCATCACCATCATCACCATTATCGGCATCGACATTATCAGAATCAACATCAATATCATCATCATCATCATCATCATAAGCATCATCATTATCATCAGCAGCATCATCATCAGCATCATCATCATCACGACCACCACCACCACCACCACCACCACCACCATCATCATCATCATCATCATCACCATCACCATCACCATCACCATCACCATCATCATCATCATCATCATCATCATCATCATCATCATCATCATCATCATCATCATCATCATCATCATCTTCATTATCAGCATCATCACCATTATCATCCTATTCCTCCTCCCCCTCCTCCTGTTCAGCCGCCGCCTCCTCCTCCCCAACCGCAGCAGCATCATCGTCAACGCCATGCCATACAACACCATGCCAAACCATACCATACCGTACCGGACCATACTACACTATACTATCCGATACCAGACTATACCATACCATGCCACCCTATACCATACCATATCATGCCATACCCGACCGTGTCGTGCAATCACATACCATACATCATCATCATCATCATCATCATCATCATCATCATCATCGTCATCATCATCATCATCATCATCATCACCACCACCACCACCACCACCACCATCATCATCATCATCATCATCATCATCATCATCATCATCATCATCATCATCATCATCATCATCATCTTCATTATCAGCATCATCACCATTATCATCCTATTCCTCCTCCCCCTCCTCCTGTTCAGCAGCCGCCTCCTCCTCCTCAACCGCAGCAGCATCATCGTCAACGCCATGCCATACAACACCATGCCAAACAATACCATACCGTACCGGACCACACCACTACACTATACTATCCGATACCAGACTATACCATACCATGCCACCCTATACCATACCATACCATGCCATACCCGACCGTGTCGTGCAATAACATACCATACATCATCATCATCATCATCATCATCATCATCATCATCATCATCATCATGATCCTCATCATCATCATCATCATCATCATCAACGTCGTCAGCATCATCATCATCATCATCAGCATCAGCATTAGCATCATCATCATCAGCATCATCAGCATCCCAATAATCATCGTCATCATCAGCATCAGCGGCATCATCATCATCATCTTAATCGTCGTCTGCATCATCATAATCATAATCATCATCACCCTCATCGCCATAATCAGCAGCATGAACATCCTTATCATCACGCTCATCATCATCACCATCATCATCATCAGCAGCAGCAGCATCATCATCAGCAGCATCAGCATCAGCATCATCCTCATCAGCAGCAGCATCACCACCATCATGACCATCATCATCAGCATCAGCATCATCATCATCACCGGGAACATCAGCATCATCAGCATCAGCATTATCATTCTTATCAACAGCCGCAGCATCATATGCATCATCATCAGCAGCACATTGAATCAACACAAACATCATCATCGTTACCATCAGCATCACTACCAACATCAGCAACAGCATCGTCGTGTCGTCATCAGCATCATCGGGCCGCCGTGAATCATCATCATCATCATCATCACCATCATCATCATCATCATCGTCAGCCTCATCATCATCGGCCTCAGCATCAGCATCATCAGCATCATCACCATCATCATCATCACCAGCATCATCGTAAGCAGCCCCACCACCACAACCACTATCATCATGTCCATCGTCATCATCATCGTCATCAGCATCATCCTCATCGGCAGGATCATCAGCATCGTCGTCATCATCAACAAAAACAGCCCACCTCATCATCAGCAGCACCATCATCATGATCAGCAACATTATCAACATCGTCATCACCACCACCACCACCATCATCATCATCATCGTCGCCGTCGTGAACCGCCATCGATCGTCACCATGATCATCGTAACCACTTGCAGCAGCAGCATCGTTATCAGCACCACCACCAGTATCATCATGACCATCGTCGGCATAATCAGAATCATAATCATCATCATCATCATCATCTTCAAAATCAGCATCCCACTCGTCATCCTCATCCCCATGATCAACGTCATCCTGGTCCTCATCATTCGTCATCACCTGCATCATCATCATCATCATCATCATCATCATCATCATCATCATGATCATGATCATCATCATCATCAAATTCATCATCATCACCATGATCAACATCGTCATCATGATCATCATGCTCCTGTTCGTTATCCTCCTGCTCCTCGTGGTCCTCCTCACATCGTCCTCCTTAGATTCGTTCTCCTCGTCCTCCTCCTCCCCATCCTTCCTCCTCCTCTCCGTCTTCTCCTCTCCGTCTTCTCCTCTCCGTCTTCTCCTCTTCCACCTCCTCCTCCTCCTTCTCCTCATCATCATAATTTTCCTCCTCTTTTTCCTCCTCCTTCTCATCATCCTCCTTCTCCTCTTCCTCATCCTTTCCCCCTCCTCCTGATCCTCCTCCCCCTCCTCTTCTTTCTCCTCCTCCTCCTCCTCCGCCTCCTCCTCATCCTCAGCTCCTCCTCCTCCTCGTCCTATTACTCCTACTCCTGCAACCCTTTTCCCTGTGAATCACTCATCCCTGTAGCACCCCGAGACCAGTCGAAAGATCCTCAAATTGAGAAATGCAAAGGCTACACGGATGGAGGGCGGGCCGTTTTCAAAATGTGGCTCTCGCTTTAGCGCCGCGCACATTCGTCTTAAGAAGATTGCGGCAGCATCACGGATGGAGGGCGGGTGGTTTTCAAAATATGGTTCTCGCCTTAGCGCAGCCCCGCAGTGATTGAGCAATGAGGGACAAACACATGTAAACTATGAAGGCCAGTTGCGAGATGGAGGATATAACCGACGATTGGAAATTTGGAAGTGAAAGAGAGTTACGAGGGCCTCCGAGGGGATGGACCGGGTTCCGCCTTATCTTTTGCAGCGAAGGTGCTTCGCAAAAATCGCACAGGAGGAGGTGGAGGCGCGCGCATGCGGGAAAATGCTCGCCTTACTAACGGCCGGGCATATGTAGCTTAACCTTGACTGGGTACCGCCATCGGTAAGTTAATTTTGGCTTTGACCTCCATTCCGAACTCGTTTGGGTCTGGTCGACGAGGTAAAGACTTACTTCTCTTTGGTAAACCATCAAATTCCACTCCCCACCCTCGCTCCTTTGAACCTGAACTCGTGAGACCTGATGACGCCCTCTGGAGTGCCAACTATGAACTATTGGCGTGTCGCATGTATCCCCAGGAATACACCACTCCCCCTCCCCGACCTTGCTTTGTGGTCGTTGCATCCTTTTCTAGGCGGAGTCTTCAGGTACATTATGCATTCTCCAACCCCGGGCAACGTTTTGAAGAATGTCTGCCCTCGGCACTTTTCGTGGGCCGCACTGCCACCAGCGTCGATCGCATCTTTGTTAATGAGAGACAATGCGTCAGCAACTAGTCAAAGTATGAGCGCGTGCTCTTAACTGAAGTCAATGGTATACTTGTCGTCCAAATCATTATGTAATGTCCAATTTTCGAGTTTTATATCTTATTTGCCCTTTCGATTTCGAAACTTGCTTGGGATTCACCTACCCGGCTAACATCTACTCACACATTGAGGTCACACGAGGCTTCTCTAGCTTCCTTAAGCGCCGCAATGGATGACCCCCATCGCTTTTGAGGATCCATCCCTTGTGATCAATGAATGGAACACAACATACCTTGACTGACGACGACGACGACGACGACGACCACGACGACGACGATGCAGACGACGACGACGACGACGACGACGGCAGCGAGGACGACGATGACGACAAGGACGACGACGACGACGATGACGACGAGGACGACGACAAAAACGACGAAGACGACGAGGACAAGGACAACGTCGACAACGACGACGACGACGAGGACGACGGCCACGACGACCACGAGGACGACCAGGACAAGGACAACGACGACGACGACGACAACGACGACAACGACGACGACGACGACGACCACGACGACGACCACGACGGCCACAACGACCACGACGACCACGACGACCACGACGACCACGACGACCACGACGACAACGACGACAACGACGACGAGGCGCTCTCCTCGTCGGCGTACACGCCCGCGGCGTCGCGCCTGGGGCCCGGCGAGGGGGACTTTGAGGCGTGACGCGCCGCGAAGCGGCAACCCGTCCACCGCCCGGGAGACGAGGAGGAGGACGAGGACAAGGGGGAGGAGGGATAGGAAAATTAGGAGGAGAAGGCGGAGGAGGAGGTGGGGGGGGAAGAGAAGGAGGAGGAGAGGATAAGAGGAGGAAGACAATAATAAGAAAAAGAAGGAGGAAGAGGAGGAGGAAGAGGATTACAAAGAGAGGAAGGCGGATGAGGAGGAGGAGGAGGAGAAGAAGGAAAAGGAGAAGAAACAAAAAGGAGGAGGAGGAAGAGAAGAAGGAGGAAGAGGAGGAGGACCAGCGTAAACCCAAGAGGCATCAACGATGTTGGAATAAACCCTCCCTCCAATCTCCCTCTCCATAGGCCCCTACAACGGCTCATTTCAACTGAGGGAACTGCCTTGTTGGAAGACAACCGTTTGAAGACCCTGGGCCATGCCAAAACCTTGTTCTCGGGATCCCGACGCCGCGGATCAAACTGACTGTTGCGTCTTGGCGATCCGAATCGTGCCAGAGCGCCATTTCTGAGACTTCAACACCGCGAATCAACGTTACTGTTGCACCCATAATCCTGAACCCTTTCCGAAGCACCAATTCTTCTCGAGCGCGAAAGATACCCTACCCTTACCTAGACAGGGTGGCAAGCGGCCGGGGGGGCGTTTCGTCGCAGCTGACGGCGGCTGCACAAGTGTAGAAACGACAGCCGGTCGAGCATTACAGACCGCTGTCTTCTCGGGGCGCACGTTAGCACCGATCGCACGTGCGTCCGAATCGGCGGAGTGCCCGACCCTGCGTTGGTTGTTGTCGATGTAGACCAGCTACTGCGGAGGCGCGCCCCCAGACACACATCCGGGCGTTGAGGAGTCAACGCGCACTCGGGGGCGCATGCGAACAACTCTGGCGCGAACGCCATTGCGCGACAAACGCCTTATCGCGAATTGCTCGACGCAGAGACATTGCGAATCTGTGCCATGGGCGAGGTCTCCAGAAACCGCCCCCCTTGGACGGCCGTCTGCGGATCACCCCAGCTAGGTACGGTTGCCCCATGAAAACCCAAAAAAACATACCCGTACCTAGCCGGGGTGCCGCAGCTCACCCCAGCTAGGTCCGGGTATGCTTCGGTGGTTTCAGGCAGGTCCCCGTACCTTGCCGAGGTGGCGGCAGGCCCAAAACGCTCTCGAGCACATATCATGCCCTCCAGAGCCGTCCCCGACGTGGCCGCTGCGGCCCTCTGGGGGCGCGACGTTGCAACGTCGTTCCTCAGGGCAGGCCCAGACGCATTGGTTGCCAGGATAGCGAGGAAATGCAACTCTTGATCGATTAGGACAGGCGCCGCCACATATGGCGGCTTTGAACCGCGCACGCACCACGATGCCCCGAGACGTCCCTAACAAAAACCAGCGCTTGTCGCTGCAATCAGACACCCAACCATCGAGCGCACCGATGCGTCTTGACGCGCGGCTGCTGCACTGGCGCGCGCGGGGCAAGCTGACCGGGCACAATAGCAAGCGCCCAGTCCCCCGGACGGCTCATCTCACCTTGGCTGGCCCCGGGTACGGGTATCTTTCGGACCAATGAATTCTGGTACGCTGATCATGGGAACCCGTGAAACTCTTGCAAAGTTTGAACATGAGTGCACGCGGCGCTAAGGCGAAAACCATAGTTTGAAAAAGAACCGCCCTCAACCCGTGAAACTGTTGAAATTTTGAAAACGAGCGCCGCGGCGCTAAGGCGAGAGCCATATTTTGAAAACGGCCCGCCCTCAATCGGTGAAACTCTTGCAATTTGTTAGAACGAGTATGCGCGGCGCTAAGGCGAGAGCCGCATTTTGAAAACGGCCCGCCCTCAATCCGTGAAACCCTTACAAATGTTTAAAGCGAACGTGCGCGGCGCTAAGGCGAGAGCCACATTTTGAAAACGGCACGGCCTCCATCTGTGAAACTGCTGCCAGCGGTTAAGCTTCAGGGTCATAACTGATGAGGAAGTCTCAGGCGAAACTCCCCATTAAAACTGCTGGCCTCGGGGTGCGACAGGGAGAAACGATGTATGAGGAAAAGGAATGGAGGAGGAGGAGGAGGAGGAGGAGGAGAAGGACAATGAGAAGGAGGAGGAGGAGGAGGAGGAGGAGGAAGAGGAGGCAGGGGGGAACAGGAGGAGGAGAAGAAGAAGAAAGAGGAAGAGGAGGAAGCACAGGAGGAGAATGAGGAGAATGGGAAAAAGAGAGGGAGAGAGGAGGAGGAGGAGGAGGAGGAGGAGGATAAAGGGGCCAAGGGGCACACAAATAAATAGAAACAAATCCCAGGAGTCCCCGTATGTTTCTACATGTTCTGGGTTTTCGCATTCCCCCCACTTCCCATAGTTTCCTGTATTTTCCGGGGGATCGATGATTAATTGTCTCTTTGTGTTTCCACTCCTGAGAGGAGAAGGAGAGATGAGGAGGATGAGGAGGAGGAAATGGAGGAGGAGGAGGAGGAGGAGGAGCTGGCGCCAGTCGTAATTGTCAGCACTGCCATGAGTCTGAGAAGAAGAGGAGAAGGATGAGGGCCAGGAGGAGGAGGAAGAGGAGGGCCAGGAGGATGAGAAGGGGGAGGGGGAAGGGGAGGTGAACGAAGGGATGAGAACAAAGGGAGGAGGACGAGGGGATAAGAAACGGGGGGCGGAGGACGACGAGAGCCGATTTCACGCCCTACTCCCACTCGTACTCCCACGACTCTTCCTCCTCCTCCTCCATTCCTCATTCTCCTCCTGGACCCCCCCTGGCGGAGAACAAAAGAAAAGTGTGCAAGGGGAGCCAGAAAAGAGGAGCAAATGTCTGGGAGGCCTGGTGACACCAGCCGCGCCCCGTCCTGCTCTGCAGATCCGCCAGCAAGCCCTGCCACGCACACACTCGCTCCTCCGCCAGCCAGGTGAGAGACGAAACGAAACGAGTCTCACGCGAGACGACGTAGCTGCCTCACGCGGTGGCTTACGCGGGCTGCCAGCGAGGAGCGCTACACTCGAAGCGAGGGCGCTTACGCGCGACCCTACGCGGGATGCTTACGCACCAGTGTCGGTGAAGACGAACCCGTTCTCCTTCGTCGCTCAGCGGCGTCACCGTAGCGAGCGATGGAGCGGAGCGCAAACTATCGTGAGCCCCACCGGACGTTGCAGGTGGCGAGCTGCGAAGGGGCGAGCGTGCGCGAAGGGAGAAGCGCCCCCACTCTGGTGGGCGGCAGCGGCAGAGCGTGCACCACGCGAGAGTGTCTCGACCCGAGGCCCGAGCGGGCAAAGAGGGCGCGAGGAAAAAAGAGCAGAGTAAGCTACAGGGAACACACACACACACACGAGCACACACACACACCAGCACAAGACAATAACACACAAAACAGCAGAAAACACCTTCGCGCGCAGATGCTTTTCAGGGGTCCTCGGCTATTCCCGCCAGCCTTCTGGGCGGCAGGCGGTCTAATGATGACTTTTCTTTCCTCTTCCATAACCCCTTCTTCCTCTTCTGGTTTATCCATGTTCCCCCTCCCCCCGGCGACCGGGGGCCAACCCGACCCCATGCCGGCACCATGCCGACACCAGGCCGACCCGCCCCCCACCATCCCTGTCAAAAAACAATACAAACCGCACTCTGCCTCCGCATTTGGAGCATGCGCGGCCAACCCGATTCGGCCCCCCCACACCGTCCCTGCCCCAAAACAATGCAAAATACACTTTGGGGCAAAGTCTTGAGTCATGTTCGTGAGTCCGGCGCCTAACAAAAATGATCCTGGCGAAAGACCCACCCATATGCAGTTGTGAATACCCCGATTGTGAATATCTTCTTCGGTGAAGCTCCCTATGGGGCAACGAAGCGCAGTACTGGGTGGATGAAAATGCCAAATCGGGTGTGTGGGACGCATGCGGACGGTCCCACTGGGGGCTTCGGTGGAGCTCCCTAGGGGGCCACGAAACGCTGTACTGGGTATGTGAAAATGCAAACTTGGGCTCCTGGGGCGCATGCGGACGGTCCCACAGGGTGCTTCGGTGGAGTTCCCTATGGGGCCACGAAACGCTGTACTGGGTGTGGCGGACGCATTTGGCCACCCCACTGGGGTCTTACGTGGGGCTCCCTACGGGGACACGAAACGCTGTAGTGGGTGTGGCGGGCGCATGTGGCCACCCCCACTGGGCCCTTAGGTGGAATTCCCGATGCGGCCATGAAGCGCTGCACTGGGTATGGCGGACACACGTGGCCACCTCCACTGGGCCCTTACGTGGAATTCCCTATGCGGCCACGAAGCGCTGCACTGGGTAACTGAAAATACCAAATAAAGTGTGCGGGACGCATGCGAGCGGTCCCACTGGGAGCTTCGGTGGAGCTCATAATGGGGCCACCAAACGTTATACTGAGTGGGTGGAAATGCCAAATTAGGTGTGCGGGACGCATGCGGACGGTCCCACTGGGAGTTTCGGTGGAGCTTCCTATGGGGCCACGAAACGCTGTACTGGATGGGCGAATACCAAATTGGGTGTGCGGGACGCACGCGGACGGTCCCACTGGGGGTTTCGGTGGAGCTCCCTATGGGGCCACGAAGCGCTGTACTGGGTGGGTGAAAAAGCCAAATTGGGTGTGCGGGACGCATGCGGACGGTCCCACTGGGGGCTTCGGTGGAGCTTCCTATGGGGCCACGAAACGCTATACTGAGTGTGTGAAACTGCCTAATTGGTTGTGTGGGACGCATGTGGGCGGTCCAACTGGGAGCTGCGGTCCAATCCCCGCTGGGGCCACGAAGCGCTGTACTGGGTGTGGCGGACGCATGTGGCCACCCGCACTGGGCTCTTACGTGGAGCTCTCTATATGGGGCCACGAAACGCTGTACTGGATGTGGCGGACGCATGTGGCCACCCCCACTGGGCATTAGGTTGAACTCCCTATGCGGCGACGAAGCGCTGTACTAGGCGTGGCGGACACACGTGGTCACACCCCCACGGGGGGCTT